TCCCCAGACCAAATGCCCACTCCTGTCCCTGGCTTTCTGCCACTCAGGCTGGAGGGGGTGGGGTGGGGGAATGACAGCTGTGTAAGCGATGGCGGCTGCCCCTTCCTGCCCCTCCCCCCCAGCTGTCTCTCTCCCATGACAGCTGCCCAATCAAAGGGCCGGGGGCTTAGCCAGCTCCCCCCACACGCAGGGATCAAGTGTCCACCCTGCCTTTGTTCTGGAGCAAGAACAATCCGGGGGAAGGGAGAGCTCCTGGGGCCAGGCGATTCAAGTAGACGGCCCGCCCCTTGGGGGATTCCCTCGGCTCTTCTGACCAGAGTGTCTGGACCATGTTGGGCCTGTGGACCCACCTGGTCTGGGGAGAGAAGGGGGCCCAGTCTCTAGCTTCATTCCCCATCTTGTATCTCCCCAAATCCCCTCAGCACCCCCAGCTCCCAACCTAGCAGCCCCCTTCTATTTCCACTCCCAAAGCAGCCATGCTAGCCACACCCAGTGATGCTGGGGAATGGCTCAGTGCATCGGTGAGGCAAGGTGTGGCAGAGGGTGGACACTGGGCCTGAGGGGATCAGCAATGAGGCTCCTGACTCTCCTGCCCATCCCCTTCTCTGGGGATGATCACTCTTCCTGATTAGCCAGGCTGTCACAAGAACTGCCCAGCATCCTCAGAGACCCATGTGCTCAGCCTCTCAGCCTTCCAACCTCCCTGGATGGCCAGTCATATCCAGTTTAGAGGGGAGGAGGGGAATGAGGAGCCTGCAGAGGAGCATCCTGGGGTTTAGAAGCTCCAACCTCTGGTTTCTTGATTCAGGTCTGAGTCATAGACAAAGTGCCAGGCAGGGAAAGGGAGCGCTGACAAGTTGGCATGTGCCAGACATGCTACAGCATCATTAGGCAGCCCCTCAAGAGTCTTCATAGCCAAGGGAAACGAAGGCAGACCCAGACCCACACTGGGCTCCAGGAAAAGAGCCACAGATTCATGGTATAGCCCCACCCACTGGTACCTCACTGTCTTATCTAAATTGAGAACAGTCTCTAGCTCCCATTCTCTGTGCTGAAGACTGTATACTCAATCTGCTGCTCCACAGCCACCCAGTGCCCCAAGGTATAAAGCCTAACCTCCATGGAGGCAATCAAGGCCCTTCATGGTCCAGCCCCTGCCCACTTCTCTCGTCTCATCTCCACCCCATCCCCCACACCAGCCGAGCAGAAGGACATGCCTAGCATCTCCAGGCCTCTGGGCCTTTGCCTAGGCTGATTCCAGCTTGAAATGTCCATCCTCTCTATTCTCTGTCAAAATCCCTCTCAAATGCCACCTCTTCCGTGGAGCCCTCCCCAACCTTCCAAGTCAGATATATGTACTCACTCAGGCCTCTGTGCCTCCCAACGATATGGCTCAAAGAAGTCCCAACTGGCATTTCTGAGACTGCCTTTCCACTACACACAGAGCTCCAGAAAGATAGGAAATTTGAGACAGGACCAGGCTCAGTGTTCAGGGAAAAGAGTTAGGGCTCACAGGGCCTGGGGGCATTTGGGACCAAAGATGGAGCTGAAGGTCCCAGAGGAGTAGTAGAGGTAGAATGAGAAGAATTAAAGAATAAGGGGTCAACCACATGGGCAGAGCCACGACTTGCCTGAATGAGATCCTTAGTTCCTTCCCCAGCATCCCCAGCCCTTGCTAATGCTGTTTTCCAGGCATGTTGCTGGGGTGGGAGATTTGGGCTGTGCTTTGGGATTTCTGGGGGTCAGAGTGTGTCTCACCATGGTGAAGAGGGTCTGGAAGAAGAGCTAGGGGTGAAATAGATTTCAGAGTCAGGTTGGGTCAGCCTGTCACAGCTGGAAGGGCCTCACCAATCAAGAGGGGAACCTGAGCCCCAGAGAGGAAGGAGGTGGTCTATAAGGCTACACAGGAGGCAAGAGGCAGGGCTGGGAGAATCCCGGGGGTCCACCTGTGCAGCTCAGAGCCCTTTCCTCAAGAGGTCAGTGCCACTGGACAATGGCGATGGAGGCTGGAGGAAGGCAATGTTGGGAGTAGGGAGGGTGAACAGAGCCTGTCTGAGGACACAGGGTGGGGCAAGCCAGCATCCCCGTGGCCAGGGCCTGCCAGGGTGTGTGGGCTGCCTGCTCCCAGCCCCCCACCCTGAGCATGCATGGAGAACAATCCCCTTGTGTTTGGGCAGCCTGAGCCTGCATGCTGATGAAGGCTAGGGGTGGGGGCTGGGATGGGGGTGCCTTGGAGGTTGAGGGGGTTCCAGGACTCAGAAGGGCTAGGGAATTTTCAGATGGGGAAAGAATAGGGTCCCAAGTACTGGCCCTGAAGCAATGAGGGTGACCCCAGGGAACAGCGAGGGCAGGAGGTCAGCTCCTAGGGAGTCCATGGGGTCTAAGAGCTCTTTGTGGGGGAAGGAGGGCCCTGGGGTCACATGCCCTGTTGGTCCAGCACAAGGTGATCATCTGGGCTTGGTGGGGAGGAAGGGATGCAACTGGCCCAAGACACATCACCTTGAAGACCACTCCCCTGGGTGCTGGGGCCGGGCGGGGCACTGGGTGCCACAGGTCTCAAGATGGCGGGCCAGGGATAGAGGAGTGAGGAGGCGGGCACCTCCCTCTCCTGGCCAGGCAGGCATGAGGGCCAGGCTGAAGTGAGTAGCAGAGCCCCCACCCCCACCTCTGCCCCCACTCCCATCCCCAGAACCCCAGCCAAGAAGCTAGGTCAGAGCTGAAAGGTTGAAGAGCCACAGAGCAGAAGGAACCACTCTGAGCCCCAACTGTCATCTCCATACACCCCTGGCCTGTAGGCCTGTATCTGGCTCCCCCAAGGACTGCAGAGAATGGGAAGGGGTGTGTGCCCAGCCAGGAGTTGCAGGGGAGTGGCAATGAAGGCAGAGACAGAGCAGAACCAGGACCCAGGGCAGGAGGTCGAGAGAAGAGCAAAGGATAGAAACAGCAGGTAGGATGGGGACTTCAAATCTGGAATCTGAGGTCCAAGAAGCCCCTCCGTGGTGCTGGGGACTCCCCGCGCAGATCAGCGCCCCTCACCTGTGCAGGCCTCGGCCGTCTGGGATAGGGAGTGTGTTCCTCGCAGTCTCCCAGTCCCCCAAACCCGGGACCGCAGCCCGTGGATCCGGGCGCGGGCTCCCTGCCCCCAGGCGAACCCCCA